ATTAAGAAAATAAAAAAAAGTTGAGAATGACGGAATCATTCTCAGCCAATCATTTATTTTTTCCGCAAAACGCTCCGGCGTAACGGCGCGACGTAGAATGAGTAATATTCGTATATGAATATAAATATAAGTGTATTCATATATGAGTCCACCACCTCCCATTCACCACCAACTACTACCATCATGAATGGCACCCGACATCCACATATGTATATAATATACTAGTTTATAACCCGTGAGAACCACAGTTATAAAATTAATTAAACTTTCATAATAAAAAAATCAAAATTATTAATCAATTATCTTAAATAAACTATTACTTAAGAGATATTTTTAGTTATATAAAATTATAATCGTTGATTTAAATAAATAGGTGAAGTTATATCACCTTATAATCTATATTAATTTTATTTTATTTTTAATCTAATATTATTAATTTAATATAATTAGAGTGAAAAAAATTTAAAATTTAAAATTTAAAATAGTGAATCAATTATTAATTTAATGTAATTAGAGTGGAAATTTTAAATTTTAAAATTTAAAATTGATAATTAATAGGTTGACAAGTGGCATGATAGGTGACCTATAATATTAATGAAGAGTTCTAATAGTATGACACTTGTCAATAGGAGAATAAACATATTCATTTATTAGAATATGAAGATGGAGATTCATTAAATTCAGTAGGCTAGGTACATACTCATATTCCCTTCCATGAGCATTAAATCGTGTGTCTATGGATACATGAATAAGGATACATGATTATACATTTTGATTATATGTTTGGGAGCAAAACAAATAAAGCAAATACATCATTTTAACATGGTTTAATCTTGAATAATGAAAAGCTGTATGAATCACAGTCTTATACCACTATGTATAGCTTTAAATTAAGTATATATTAGTTTAGTCCTTGATCATGTAGTCAATGGTAGGTTGAAGAGATTCGAAAACAATTTTATACATCTCTTGCGTTGGGTGTATCGAGTCCCAAAATACATACTTAGACGCATCTGGGCATATGTTTGACTTAGGATTGCATAGGAATGTCGTTTCTAATAAGCCAGTCCCACAACATCCAAGCTTAACTTCTTTGAACCCTGAAAACACACACACACACACATGATAAGGAATATGGTATTATATAGAACAAAGAAGCTTATTATCTTGATAAAAGGAAATGAACTTACCATATTTATGACCTGCAACTACGTCAAATAAGGGTGAATAAGTATCAAAATAGGTGATCCGACCACCTTGGAGCGCATTGTTGAATTGCATGATGTTTAGTCCTGATTGGAGCATGGAATTGTAAGTCCTGCCCACTGATGAGAAGTAATCAATACAACCACGATCCAAAACTGCATCTTCAGAGAAAAGAGTGATGACAATTGGCAAGCAACCCATTGGAGGCAGTCCAGCAACTCCAATCTTGCGAGCTCCTTCATCCAACAACCCCTAATCGGATAACAAATTATAAGAGAAAAAAGTTGTAATCCTTTTAGTAAGGTTCCTTTTTATGAGTTTTCTTAAGATAAACCTTACTATAGCTTTAAACTGATATAATTTTTTTTGAACGGTTAAACTAATATAATTTAATAGTGTTAGTTAATGTACGTAGTCTTGTCATTCTACGTTGTGGTATTTCTTTTGAGTGAAAAACAAGTACCATATGATGATTAGTTGAGTCTTTTAAATAACAAATTAACATATATCCTTGATCTTTTAGGTTTTAGGTAGGAATTTTTTTATTAGGTTTGGGGATAGAGCCCTTGATTTCTTTAATGTTAATCATTAATTATGAGACCATGTGTTTATTCTTACCTATTTATAGTTAATTATGGTTTATTATGGTAGTTGGTCTTGTTCAATATAGAGAATAATCGATCTTTTACTATATTTGTCATAGCTAGACGAATCTTAACGTTTTTTCTTATCAAATGTGAAATGTCAATGTTATTTTGTGAGCAAAATACTCAATTTCTATGAAGAATACTTTAACATCAACGATCAACGAGATAAACAATAAAATGTAAAAAGGTCAATAATCTTTGACTCTCACATAAAACCCATAAGAAATTACCTTTGGCCGATTTAACTATTTCTTTTATCATTCCTTCTTAGGCCTAAAATATATCAAAAAAAAAAAAAAAAAAAACACCATGCGGAATTAAATTGGAAAAAACTCTAAGGTGGTGGTTGGCTTCAAAAAATGTTTCAGAAGCAATTCGAATATTTCAAGAATTGTAATTGAATTTCATATGGTTAGTAGAAAATCTAATTGTAATAACGTAAAATGACATAATTATCATTTTTTTAATTTTACTTTGTTTTATAATTTATATGTAATGATATATCATATAAATTATAAAAATAGTAAATGGTGGGTAGTGACGGAGGTGGTGGAGAAACTGGTGGGTGGTAGTGATGGTGACATCGGTGGCGGTGGGTGAGATGGTGGTGGTGACGGTAGGTGTGGTGATGATGGTGATGGTTGGTGGTGTTGTACGGTGCTGGTGGAGGTAGCAGCCGGTGGTGGTGGTTGGCGGTGATGGTGGAAGTGGAAGTGGTGGTGGTTGACGGTGATGGTGATGGCAATGGAGGTGGTAGTGGATGGTGGGGGTGATGATGGTGGCGGTGATGGTGAAGTTGTGGTGACGAGGATGGTGGAAGGTTTTTATATGTAGTGTTAAAAATATAATCTTTTAATGTTGAAAATTTCTTTTAAATTACATTTTAATTTCATCTGAAAATGAATTTCCCTCAGTCGAGATGGACTCATTTTACTATTTAAGAATCCAATTCTTTATTTTGAATAAAATATAGGAATATGGTGACTCTAATTCCCTCCTGTTCAAATGGTACCTAAGTAATTTGATGACCATGCCTTATATTTACCCAAACTCATTTTAATGATTTGATATATAATTAAACACATGTCTCAAAACAATGTTACTATACCATTCTGTATACGGTTATCATAACGTGATACTCAGAGCATTAAATATGTTTACGGATTTTAATATTCTTTATTAGAAAAACAAACATATAATTAAATGTTGGGTTGCAAGGTAGTTGGATCACTTTGAAGGACTAAAACCTTGAAAGGCCCCATAGCTAGGCTGATCAATCATATTTGATGCACCCCCAAAACTCTAGGACCACATATATAATTAACCATATCATATCATGTATGCATACCTTCCATCCAACACATGTAAAACATATTTTATATTATCACATTTATTATTATGTTTCAATGATGGTTTTTAATTATATATGTTGATAATTCTTCTTCTTTTTAATGTTTGACTATTCTGTAAAAACACATGCAACTCCATTATATATAGCATTGTGAATAATAATATAGCAATTAGCAAACCTGCACGAATTCCAAGTGTTTGTTGAGGAGGAAGTCCATGTAACCGGGAAGAGTGTATTCGTGTCTTCTAACCGGAAGTGTGAAATAATTCACAACAAAATCGTTTGTACCCGCGCTCACAATATACAAAGCGTTGTTTACAATTTCTTTTGCTCTCAACACCCCAAGCTTTGCAGTCAATCGTACTTTATACTCTCTAAAATATTCTAATTGCACATGCATGGGGATCACGTTCTGAAAATTCAAATTCACAATCAAAATATAACACGTACTTTCATATATTTCAAAATTATTTCCATATACACAATATATTAGGATAATTCCTTCATTATTTTCTTTGTAATAATTTTGTAAATTTTAGGAAATGTACGAATGATAAATACCATACTTTTTGTAAAATTAAAATCTTATATTAATCAACATAAAAACTTTTTTTTTTCTATTTATCGTATGTTTGGCAAAACAAGGGTAATCTGGATTTGACTGGCTTTTGGTCCTTTTTACGTATTTTTGGCAACACCAAGTGTAAGTTTGGTTTGACTGGATTTGGATTATAAGTTTTTTAATTAAAAATAAAAAATTTAACCTTGTATTTTCAAATGAAACGTTAACAGTTTTAAGACCCGTTTTCTCCCAAACATATGCTTTATCATTAAATTATGTATAAAAATAAATATATCATTTACAATAGAAATGTACCTTTTTTTACTGTTATTTCAAATAGTGAAATTAGAATTTTTACATTAGCGTCATGATTGTCTGTGTGTATATATATGTGTGAGTGTGTGTACGTGTGTCTGTGTGTGCATATGTGTGAGTGTGTGTATGTATGAGAGAGAGAGAGAGAGAGAGAGAGAGAGAGAGAGAGAGACGCTTATCGTTGGTGTAAGAGGGTCAAATCCGGATGCAGCAGAAGCAAAACTAACTCCAGTCATCAGATCATGAATGGTAAGTGAAGGATCCAGATAAGGAGGCACATTATCCTTTACACCAAGATACCTACCTACACATTATCCAAACACCACAACTAATTAACATATATCTTTTCTATATCATAAAACTTAATTCCATGGCTAGATTCACGTATGAATAGAAAGAAAGTCGAGTAAAGAAATGAAAATTACCAATAAGGTCACTAGTTAGCAATCCATTGGTAAACCTCCCTGTCGCTTTTTGGTTTGCAAAATCTCTCCCATAAGGTGGGAAATTGCCCTTGAAAGGGGTCAGAATGTAGTTGTTGTTTCCAGGATCAGAAGTGGAGTCTCCGAACACCAAAATAGCAGAAACCTTGTGGTTTTGAGTAGACGTCTTCACGATAAGATCTTGTGGTTTAGCATTGGATACAGAGATCAAAAGAATTTGGACTAAGAAAACTAGTGTAATCTTTAAAGAAAAAGTTAAGGCCGGAGAAACTGTCATTTTTTTGGAGAGGGATTCAAGGAGAGTAGATATGACTTCAAATCATAGACGTTGAGATGGTTACCTTGACATGCTTTCTTAAAATACTCTTCCAAGTGTGGTTGGTTTGACTTCCCGTACGTAGTTGAAAAGACATGCATAACCATATGAGTATATATGCGACAATATATTTTTGACGGTACAAGGCTATACTTACATATATGTATAACAATCTTGCAACGTGATCCAACAAAAAGTGTCTAAAGTGTAAATGATTTTGTCTTATATGAAAAAGTAATGGACATTTTCTAATAAGTCATAATCACTTTCTACATTTAAAAAAAAAAATTGATCGCGTCTTGATTATAAATTTACGTTTTTTTATATTCATTTTCTAGATACTAGATCATTGATGTTTTTATATTAATAAATAAATCATATCACCAATCAATCATACATGCAAGCATTTATTATCTTCTTTAAGTTGATATAGTTGGGAACCAAACTCTGCTAGCTGTCGATTATTTTCCAGACTTCAAAACAAAAAAAATTGGTGAATCAACAAAGAAATGCTGGTTCCTTTTTGTAAATCGGATTGTAAAATATAAATGAATATCCAAGGATCTCTTCTAGAAAACACAAACAC